GTGTGTATATATATATATATATATATATATATATATATATATATATATATATATATACACACAAGTTTTGATTCTTATCCCTTGACTTTGCATTTGAGGAAAGTGTCAGGCAGAATTTTTGACACTCCTAGAACATGGCACAGTTCTGAAAAGCTGCGTGCTTTGTATTTTCCAATTAAGATTGAAATCAGACATGTAATCCACCTGTCAGCAAGGAACTGAGACTTGAAAAAAAGGTGTTTTATTGTTTTTTCTAGTTGTCCTTCTACATAATTCTGTGTGGCGACACTTCATCTAGACTGATAGACAACTCAAACCAAAGAGGGAACACTGGCATCAAACAAATAGTCGAATATATTATTGGTTCAGTTTAAGAGAACCCAGTTTAAAATTAAAACACTCAGATTTGAGCTGTAGATTACCTTTGACTGTAGAGCACCTTGTCCCATCAAAAAGAGGAAATACACAACATTCTCTACAGTCTCAGGAAGTTCCTGATGCTCTTTGCCCCTTCAGAAAGCACAGAACCTACCATAACGTCCTAAGTCTTGAGCCACATATTACAAAATCTGATCATTAACGAAAAAAGTTTGCTGTATTATTGTTGCAGTTAGGTAATTAGTTTCCCTTCTAACACACAACAAACAGAAAGGGCACCTTTGGGGTCTGATCCTTCATTTCTGGCGTACTCAAAACTCTTACTGAAGTCCATCAAAGTGTGGCGTACCTGGAGACTGCAGCATCAGGCTCCCAATTACTTCCTCACTACTCAGAGAAATCTTATCTAAAGGTTTAATTATATAACTGGAACATATATATATTACCCTATTTTGGGGTTTTTTTTCTCATCTGCCAGATGTCAGAAATTTGCACAGACCATTCCTTGAGAAGAAATATGAAAGAGATGTGAAATGTCTGAATGTCCAAAAGTACAAAATAAAAGTATTTCCTCATTTGAGATCTGAAAGGTTTAATGTTGAGACTAATATTTCTCTTCTACAGCTAAGGCATTGGATTTCTAATCTGTCAACAGTCCTTTTATAAAAAAAGAGATGTATGTATATTTCTATCAATTTTAATTGTATTTTATAAATGATCTGTATATTATTACCTCTCAGCTGCAAATTTACTAGAATATATAAACAAATATAAAAAATACTGAGGCCCTGATCTTGCTCCCACAAAAGCCAGTGGAAGGAGAACCATAAATTCCTATGGGAGAATGACTAGGCTTCAAAGTAGGTTTCTGCTAAAGAATGACTTGTGTGGCACCCGGTGAAGCCAGGTACAAAAGAAATGTAATTTAAGTACAAAATGTTATCATATGCTTGAAAAAAAATTTAAAATCTCTAAATTTTGCAAGCATTATGTTTTTGAGATTTGAATAGCTTGAAAGGAAAAAAAAATATTTGTTGGCAATCTCAACAGATATTTTAGGCTGAGCACAGAGTGCAGGATAGGGCCCAGAATGCTTATATTGAACAATAATAAATTTTCATCTGTGCTAGGAAACTCAACTCGAACTGCAGCTGGAGAGGTTTCTTTCCTATTTTTTTTTTCTTTTTTCCTTTTTCCCTCCCAACTGATCTGGTTCAGCCAGGGCATAGCTGTAATTACCTTCTTCCCATCTACAGCTAATACCTCAGAGCAATAAAAAAAATATGAGGGTGTTAAAAATTCAAACGCTAATTATGGGCTGTTATATTTACTAAACACAGCAGAGTAATAAGAAAAGTTTCAGCTTCTTGTGGCCAGCGCTGCACTATTTGATCTACCAAGTCCCTGGACCCTTTACACTTACTGTATTACATAACAGTTAATAGCGCACTAAAATAAAATTCGATAAACACATTTATTACCAAACATGTATAGCACAACCACTTACAGCTGTCTCCTTTTTCCAGCACAGGTATATCTCTGAAGTGTTCATTCCTTTGTTGATTTTGGTTTTGGTTTCCAATTAAGTTATATAAAGAGTGGAGCAGTAGATTTTGAAAAGGGAAGCGTGTGCTATTTGAGTACCCCATTTAAAGTCTTATGGTAAATATTGGCTAATCGTACAATTTTTTTTGTTACTTTCTCTTATGCCTGTTTTCAGATCTAGCAAAGGAATAAAACTGAGACCTGCCTTAGTTCCTAGTTCAGCACTGCAACTGTCACCGCTACCACCCCTGGCATTCACATTAAACACACACAGTGTAGCTTTTTACCACTTAATAAGAATAGAGGTGTATGGATTTTTGGGGTGTCAAACAGCTGTCACAAACTGTCATGTCCACAAGAGAAACCTTGGCACACAACAAATTAACCTACACTTCTTTTTGGCTATCATTATTCATAGCCAATCAGTTGAAATGCTCCTAGTATTTCATGTGCAAATAAAACCATGAGGGGAAGACCCATGGATCAGAATAGTGGGCCAATACATAAAACAGAGGAAACAACATGCTGTCTCTGTCCTTCTGAAGTGGCTCATCATCACCCCTGCACCAACTTTCACCAAATGAGATCTAGCCAGAGGCTATATATTAAATATGCATATCAAAGCAAATGAAAAAATAAACCTGGAGAGTCAAATTGGACAAATTTGCATGCTTGAACTATTACATTTTCAGGTAGATGCTTACAAATGATAGCTTAGGTTTTGATACTCCTGTATGTTTATATTAGCCATTTTTTAAAGCTTTTATTTCTTTATGGATAAAAGTGGATTTCTTCCTGCTGGAACCTTGTACAGTGTAAACATAAATGTGTACACACACGGTAGTTTGACTAAGCTATAAAAGAGTGTTAAAGTTTTGTTGGGAAAACAAGCTAATATACAAAAAAAAAATCCAATAAGGAGACACATTTCCCAAAACGCATGAATAAAATGTAACTATGTGATACAACTCTTCATTTCCCAGTTGGTGTTCTGGTTGCACAAATTATTGCTTCCTTTCAAAACAAATAGCAGGGGGCTAAAGTAAAAATGTTATAGCTCAAATCTCCAGGAAATAAAAGGCTTTAAATTATAATACCCAATGAAGTGGTAAACCCTAACGGGTGCAAGATAAATGGGTTGTCATATTTATTTGAGTTTGGGTTTGGGGCCACAAAAGCAAGAGGAGACTCTTCTTAGGGAAGATAATAGTTATCAAATTATCAAAATGCTAACCCCCTCCACCCCTGTCCTATCATTGTGTGTGAATTTAAATATTATAATGGAGCACTGCAAATTGGCTTGAGCATTCGCCATCTGCCAGAACCCTAAACAGGCTAGTTTATCTAATCTCTTCAATATAAACATAAGCATGCTCCATTTCTACACTTCCACTTGAAACACACTCATGTAAAGAAACTGTACTGGAGAAACATGTACTTTTCTGTTTCTCTGAATTATACACAATGACCCCCTATCTTTCAGGTTGCCAGTCATTTCAATTTCTTTTCTAGTAATCTCCCAGAATACTTTTGCACACGAATTTAAGGTTGTAAAATGCCATAAACCAAATATTTTTGAAATAGTGTCGTGCCTCATGGAGTTTATTATCTATGTGTGAGATAGCTGATAAGCAGAGAAACTTTCGGGAACCTCTGCATACATTTTTTCCTCTCAAAATAATAGATTTTAAACGTAAAACATCTCAAAAGCCTTGTTCTGCAATGTTTACCGAATACAAATGAGAAAATGAAAGCTAAGGCTTGGGTCCAAAAATATTTCCCGGGCTCTGTAACTAAGCTGTGCCAGAAGGGGGGCATTTAGAAGAATTTATTATTATTTTATCTCCCAATTCAGCTTCAGTCCAGGTCTAATGTAATTATCAAATACACACACAAACAACATGTTTTCAAAGGAAACAAAAGCTCCTAGAAAGCTCATTCTCCCTGGGCTTACAGCTACCCTTCTTAACACACTGGGAAATAAAGGCAGGCGCCTGTGCAGAAAGCATGGTTAACTTCACACCGGGTGTTAAATTAATATTTCAACCGCTAAAATATTAGACTGTATCATTTAGATTATGAGTTCAATTGAATCTAAAACTGTGTAAACCCCTTTTCCCCCCAGGGATGCGTTCCTATAAATAAACTAGAGTTCACACCCACTCTTTTTAACCAGAGCTATTCCTTCCCCTTTCTGCGGTACCAGCTGCAATCTTTCCCTTCACATCCCGAAGTCTCTCCGCGTCTACATCTTTTGAAGGATCACAAGAGCCGCTCCAAACCCCGGAAAAACAAAGGCACTCTCCTCACCACGCACACCAACGTTCAGTCCTACACACATAACACTAATTCACCAACTCCTAAAGTGTTAAAATCAACCGCTAACCTACGGTTACTCAATCATCATTCTCTCCAGCTTTCTGTAATACATTGTTAATAATTGCTTCATCAAGGTTACTGTCTTTTATTATGAAGATGCTTCAGGCGTTTGGCAATAAGTCCATATTCTGACAATAAGTTGCTATAAAGCACAAGCATTGGAAACTCTAATGTGCTAACCCCTTTTTTTTAATGCAATGTGGTATTGCCAATAATTCTCATCACTTGTCATCCCCACGAGAGGGGAGGGGGGAGCGAGTCAGCAAACTTTCTCCCTAACTTTCTTGTCTCTGTTTCCTTACATTGCTGCATTGATTACAGAGTTGGCAAAGAAGAGCAAGCACCGAGCCCCATATCAAACCGACAGTTTGCTAGCTCTCCAAGCCGCCCAGACCAGGAAACTTTACAAACCATTGCAAACTTGCTGCTTTGCACATGGAAACAGAAAGGACCTTTTGCATTTGTACAACCTTACTAAACGAGAGGCAAGAAAGTGTAAAGATGGGGTTCGAGCTGGCAAGAGGGTAAAGTGGTAGTAGTAATAATAATAATAACAATAGACAGCAGCAGCAAAACAATTAAATCAGAGACAGATCCTCTAAGCAGGTTAAAGTCTTTAAAAGTGCCATAAAGAAATTGGAAGGACTTACATGATCAGCTAGATTTGTGGAAGATCCTGAGAGTTCTTCGTGGTCTGATTTGGAGCTGCCATCCCTTTCGTCAATAACGAGGTCTATTGGCATTTTTCCTTTCAAACAACTAATGTACCGATGGCAGAAGTTATCGCACAATTCATGAACCTGAAAACAGTGACAAGAATAATAGTATCAATAATGGCAAAATATTGGATTTCAACTTTTTTTTTTTTTTTTTTTTTTCTCTAATTAAGGGGCACAATAGTTGAAGGCAAGGAAACAATAGAGAAATTGTTGCAGCACGTATTATTCTCTAGAGACTTGCCGCAGCAACAAGTTAGAGAGAGAGAGATAGTGGGCTCACTCTGGTGTGCAGAGGAAAATCCGATTTGATGATAACATCAGAACACTGGGAGCTGGACCCAGGAGGTACCTCTGGAGCGTACACAGCCCAGACAGGTACAACTAGTCACTCGGGACGGGATCGGTTTAAACCGGGGCTAAAAAAAAGTTCTAGGTGGCTGGGAGCAGTAAGTCGAAGCTCCTCGCTGAGGCTGTGGGAAGAGCCGTCCTCGTCCCAGGGCACAGCCCCCTCCCCAAGCCGCGCAGGGGCCCCCTGCCTCTTCCAAACATCTAGAGCTTGCTTGGGGTTAATGTGCCTGCCAGAGCTGGAGAAAGACAGGAGCGCTCGCATTTCTCTTTTTGTTAAACATACTGCTTCCGAGTCAGGAAGAGAGCTTCTACCGAGGGAAGGGATAAGAAGGATGAAAGGGGGTTAACAATGTATACTTTTAATGACTCGCTTCAAATTAGGCTGAAAACAACAACAGCAAAAAAAATAAGGCCGGGCCGGGCTGTTTGTCGGGTGTCACATGCTCTGATGACACAGGTTACAGTATCACAGTATCACACTGCATTTCCCCTCTCTCCTCTGGCCATGTTTACAAGTCATCCCAAACACTTCGGGGGGGTGGGGGTGGGGGTGGTTAGGGAGGAGGGGACAGGGTGGGAATGGCTTGCCCCCCGCCCACCACCGAAACCAGCATTTTTATTTCAAAGTGTTGTTCTCCCCTGCTCTGCCCGAAGCGATACTGAGGGGCTGCAGAGCGTGGCCGCGTCCGTGTGTCCGTGTTTGTGTGTCCGTGCGTTTTTAAAAAAATACTTGTTGATTAGAGCTCTTCTTTCCCCCTCTCCCCCACCCCCTCCCCTCTCTTTGTGTGCCACTGCCCGGTAGGCACCCGTTGTTCCCCCTCTTAGCCCTGGTCTTTGAGAAGTGCGAGCTGGCGACCTGCACGCCCCGGGAGCCCGGCGTGGCCGGCGGGGACGTCTGCTCCTCCGACTCCTTCAACGAGGACATCGCCGTCTTCGCCAAACAGGTCCGGCACCTCTCCCCCC